ATGAAGGAAGGCTGAAAGAATTGGGTTTGTTTAGTTTGGAAAAGAGAAGACTGAGAGGGGACATGATAGTGGTTTTCAGGTATCTAAAAGGGTGTCATAAGGAGGTGGGAGAAAACTTGTTCATCTTAGCCTCTAAGGATAGAACAAGAAGCAATGGGATTAAACTGCAGCAAGGGAGGTTTAGGTTGGACATTAGGAAAAAGTTCCTAACTGTCAGGGTGGTTAAACATTGGAATAAACTACCAGGGGAGGGTGTGGAATCTCCATCTCTGGAGATATTTAAGAGTAGGTTAGATAAATATCTATCAGGGATGGTCTAGACAGTATTTGGTCCTTCCTTGAGGGCAGGGGACTGGACTCGATGACCTCTCGAGGTCCCTTCCAGTCCTAGAGTCTATGAATCTATGAAAGGGGAGGGTGGGGAGGTGGGTGTTGACTAGCTCAGTATGCAAATTGCAGGAAATGATAAGTACAACTGCCTTAATTACTACTTACTCCTACCAACAACATATCTTTTCCTAGTTTTTATGAACAGGTAATTCAGTGGCAAAAACCACTGTTAACACAGATTTAAAGTTGTCATCCCCTTGAAGAGTATGTTGTGCTATTAAAGGACAAAAAGCAGGGGGCAAGGTAGCCCATGATCCCTTTCCTCTACCATCTTTGAGCAATGCCCCAGTACACACATACTCACGCTGGCCCTTGGCACTATAAGATTCAGGAGGCGCCAGATCCTAGCATACACTCGCACTTTGAGCCAATTCCCCAGAAAGAGTACCACATATGTACAATGTGAGAACTACTTCACAGCCTTTAACAGCTCCTTTGCCATTACCCACAGGATACCATCTCAATCTACACTTTCATGTACCCATCATTAAAGCATTAGAATCCTGTTATATTCCACATTACCACTGACAATAGCCTTTGTAATAAAAGCCCTGTGCCCTGCTAACTATATAACATACAATATTCTGCAAAGAAATGATGTGTACTGGATTCTGAAGGTACACATGCACAATTCCCTTTCCTCACACACATGAGAGAGTGAAAAACACTCGCTTACAGACAACCCCCCAACCTAAAGCAAATACTCACCAGCAACCACACATCACTGAACAAAACCACTGACCCAGGAACCT